GATGAGGTTTGATGAATGGAACGAAAAATTCACGAAATGTGGAACCGAGATGGAATGACTGGGCTTTACAGGAAGGATTTTCACTGAAATTCGCGAAATGTGGAACCGAGATGGAATGACTGGGCTTTACAGGAAGGATTTTCACAGATCAATACATGTCCGCTACACTTATGCTGCCCGACACATCGCCTATCAGCTTGTGGAGAAATCTCGAAATGCAATACATCTGATATCTGATTAGTGTAGCTATTCTTCTTTGTAAGGATATCCAAGTGGGGGAACTTTCGAAAATTTGTAACCAGCCGCTTTCTGAGACTTTCTGCATAACCTGACGGAATTTCCGTGTCGTAAACTCGTCCGGAAGCTCGCCGAGGCTTGCAGGCGCCTGAGGCCACAGTGACTCTGGGAGCATCAGGAAGATGGTCCATCGGCGTAGGTCCTTCTCAGAATTTATGCACAATCCTCGGGAAGCTAGGTCAGCGGGGTGCTGCTTCAACATCACATAACACCACTGATCAGGACGTCAACACTGGTGGATCATGGTTACTCGATTGGCTACGTAAGTCGGGAAACGTCGCGTAAAGCACCGTAGAGGTTGCAAAACCATCATGGAGTCGGTCCAAAAGATCACTGGGCATTCCGAATGCATTTCCTCGACTACTTGCGTGGCAAATCGCGTGGATAAGACAGCGGCAGTGAGCTCCAAACGAGGAATAGACACGGTCCGTATAGGAGTGACTCTGCCTTACCGAGAACTAAGCGGCATGACTTTTTCATTCTCACCCACACATCGCAGGTACATAGCCGCCCCGTATGCTGCTTCTGAGGCATCTGAGAAGCAGTGTAGTTGGGGAGCAACCTTTCAGAATCTCTTAGGTGTTAAACAACGAGGTATAGATACATGGCTTAACTCCTTTAGTTCCTGTAACCATCGGGTCCAGCGATTGTTTTCTTCTTCGGATAGCTGTCCGTCCCATTCCAATTTCTGTCCGACAAGGTCCTGTAGTAGCAGCTTCGGCTTAAGTAAAACTAGTGCTAGGATACCTTAAAGGGTCGTAGACGGAGGCCACGAAGGATAATATCTTTCTCCGAGTAGGGCTGCCTTCGAATGCCTTCAAGTCGAACTGTGTACTGTCTTCGATGATATTCCACACCACACCAAGTGCACTTTACAAGCAACCGTACTGAATTCTATGCTGTGATTCTGGAGACCTTAGTTCTTCTGAAGGACACACTCATCATTACTGATCCACTTCACCAAACGGAATCCACCTAAATAGGTGATAGCCTTCAAGTTATCAATCAAACATATGGCTTCTTCCTCAGTATCCACACTGAACAAGCAGTCGTCGACATAAAAGCACTCATTAGTTAGGTTGATCACATGTTTCGGGAACTTTTCTGCATTATCAGCAATGGCCTGACGAAGCAGGAGATTCGCACAACTGGGAGAAGACGTGGCGCTAAAGGAGTGAACGGTCATCCGGTATGAGCTAGGTGAGATAGACATGTCCCCGTCGTCCCACCATAGAAACCTCAAACAATTACGATCCTCAGGGGTAACCTTGAATTAGTGGAATATAGCCTCAATATCGGAAGCAACAGCTATCGGATTCATTCTGAAGCGTAATAGCACTCCAACTAAGCTATTCGTTAGATCCGATCCTGGCAATAATTGCTTATTGAGTGATGTTCCTTTGTGGGTGGCTTGGCAGTCGAGCACTACTCGTACCTTACCAGGCTTCCTGGGGTGATATACTGCATGATTTTGGATGAACCAAACCTTGCACTGACCTTCCACATCGTCCTGGGGAATTATTTCAGCATATCCTTTGGCCAGATACTCCTTCATCACCTTACTGTAAGCCGTTCGTAAGTCCGGGTCTCTCATTAATTTTTTCTTCGGTGAGTTTAATCTCATGTGTGCCACCTGTCTGTTGTCTGGGAATCTTGGTCTGTCGGTTATCCATGGTAATGCTACTTCTTAATGGTTTCCTTGCTTTCCCAGGGACCTTTGCATCCTAGTCAGGGCATGTTTATCGCTCAGTGACATAGCCAAACGACAGCTGGGGACTTCATTGAATTCTTGGTTATAAATCTTTTCTAACATCTGATGTAAGTCTAACGTGTCACAGCAGGTTGAGTAAATGTTCACGGTGGTCGCCGGCGTTACTTCCTCGCTTGGGTAGAGGGCTTCCTCCATTGAGCTAGTAGGACCTAGGATAATCCAACCCAGAGGTGTATGGACCAAGTATGGATCATTTGGCCTTCCGCGTCGTTGTTCTAGTGACCAGTGACAGTAGGGGTTGTCACTTCCGATTATTATTCTCACCTTTCCGGTCACTTCTGGGAGCTTGAGATCGGATAAGTGCTCCTATCACCCCTTTTGCACCTTCGCTTTGGAGCCGCGAATTAGTTCCGGAAATTTGTGTAGAGAACGGACTCCTTGAAGCGGAATAGTTTCTTTAGCACCCATTGCCTGGACGTTCAAGTCTAGCCTTTGGGACTGAAAAACCCCACATCCAGTCACGGTACTGACCTTCAAAGACTCAACCTCCCCTTGTGCACCAATATCCAGTAGTAGTTCGGAATCAACCAAGGATGTATCAGAGTCATTGTCTAGTAAGGCTACCGTCTGTACCTGGCCTCCGGGTCCCGACACGATCACGGGGACGACTCCTAGCGCCACCTGTGACTGGTCTGAGTGTTTCAGGGTCATTTGGCTTAGCCCGTTGATCATCGAGATTTGTGTGTAGAAGCGGGTGATGAGCAGCCCTACAATGATTTAACCCGCAACTTTTACGGAAACAGCATGAGTTGCGTTCGTGGTTTGACTTCAGACATAGGGTACATAATCTTTTCTCTCGGCACATCTTCAAGAGTTCGTGGACGCCATATTGACGAAATCTATCGCACTCGTCCAAATAATGGTGTCCGCCGCAACACGAGCACGTTAGGTAAGACCTTTCAGAACCAGATGTAGCGAGAATATGAGCTGAGGAACCTCGAAGTCTACAGTTTCCAACTTTGTCCACGATAGTTGAAGTCCAGGCAGTTGGTCTCGGTGCGAAGGAGAGAAAGGTGTCCATGACGTCGGCTGTCTCCTCGACAAATTCAATGAAATCCAAAAATTGAGGCACTCTGTTAGCCCTCATGCACCTAGCGGCGTGTTCTGCTCACTTAAACTGATTGTGAGTGGATAGACGTCTAACAATAGCACCAATGGTCCGAGAAGCATTTATGTCTGATTCATACTTTATTGCTTCAAGGTGGTGTGGCAGGTACGAAACTCCCAAGGTAGTCTCGATAGGGTTGCGAAATCGTTTGGTCTGATCGCCATCTGTGAGGGCATCGATGTGCGTCCTGGCTATCATGTGTGGCCTTCCAAACCGCTTTCGCAAGATGTTTAGAGCTTCGGTAAATCCTTCCACAAGATACATTATTAGGCAGCTTTCGATGGCTCCTTTGGCCCCGCAGGAACAATATTAGACCAGGTAGGACAGCCTGATTGTTGAATCAGCTGTAGATTTTAGGACGTTCGCCTCGAAACAGCGCATGAAGAGCCAGTAGCGGGCAAGATCTCCCTCGAAGTTCACCAGGCCTCGTTTAGGGAGATTGATAAGCGTGTTGCTAAAACTGTCAGTTCCTCGAAATGTGACCGGTGATCGACTGGTGGTGGCTGATCCGTCCGAGGTTTGAAATTCAGGCATCTGGCATGCAGCGCTTCCTTGCCGATACTCCATTTCGGATTGGACAGCCGCTTCACAGAACGGTTTCATTGTGTCCGGTTTCAGTGTGATGTCGGGGGCAAAGTTTAATCTTGAAGGGCTTGGCATCACATTACGATTATCCGCGTGGTGCACCAACCGAACGTCACGTGATGCAACGCTTGAACACAAAGCAATACGCATCGTTGTCAGCTCCAACTCCAGCTGCCTAATTCCCTTTTCTGCCTGTTCCAGCTTGGAAATATTCATGAACTTCTCATCATCAGAAAGTGAGGGTGTATTGCATTCAGGAATAGACATAATGTCGTCTAGTCAACTTTGTTACGGGAACGATAACAAATATAACGTACGACGAAATTTGAATTGCGCTTAGGAACTCTGCGAACAATACATAGCTAACTGCAGGAAAACAATGCGTAAGGTAGGACAGATGAGCTAAGTCTAACGACGGCAGCTAGCAGTGAACAGCGATCCTGTGAATCTAGAATAACCGCACGGTCTGGGCAGAAAAAACGGCTTTGAGCAGGAGTAATAATGTTGAACGTGGTTCTATAAATAATCACACTATCAAACATATATAAAATAGGTACTCACGAATAGATCGACACGACGTTGATTTAACTAGCGCATCAAGGTCAGAATAGAAAATCAACGATCATAAGGGGCGGTAATGCAGGTAAACAGAAATAGAAAAAGGAAGATAGCATATAAATTTAAGGTTTCGTATAGAGCGCAACGAGTTGAGATATGGTGTAGCGCAAAAATGGAAAAATGTTGAAGTTTGGATAATAAAGGATTCTTCAAATAGTTGTTTGGCAGATTTGAAGTTTGTATATCGATTGTGAAAAGTTCAGTAACCTCGGTGGGATTCGAACCCACGCATGGACGCCGCCTACGCTTTGTACGCGTATGCTCTACCAGCTGAGCTACGAGGCCACACCGATAGCACTGATCTTTTCACATTCGAATTTACCCATCCAACTTACAGAGGCATGTGGCATCCACCAGTTAGCATGCAAGCTGACTGCCCCGACAGGTTTTCCTTAGAATTCACCGGACTCCACCGAATGAGCTTCTAAGACAAGTTGAATTGTTCAAATAGTTGTTTGGCAGATTTGAAGTTTGTATATCGATTGTGAAAAGTTCAGTAACCTCGGTGGGATTCGAACCCACGCATGGACGCCGCCTACGCTTTGTACGCGTATGCTCTACCAGCTGAGCTACGAGGCCACACCGATAGCACTGATCTTTTCACATTCGAATTTACCCATCCAACTTACAGAGGCATGTGGCATCCACCAGTTAGCATGCAAGCTGACTGCCCCGACAGGTTTTCCTTAGAATTCACCGGACTCCACCGAATGAGCTTCTAAGACAAGTTGAATTGTTCAAATAGTTGTTTGGCAGATTTGAAGTTTTTCTAGTCCTTGCACAACGAATTACTCTACCTGTAATGTGGCAGGGTGATGCCGATAGCCTTGTTTAGTGCTGCTTCTAACTCGCACATGTCATAATGCTTTCTACGGACTCCAGTTTTTCAATCGCGGATCACTCTCCAGGCGAAAACTTTTCACGTCCCCAAACTAGGCTGAGATTAAAAGTCGGAGGGTCGTGAAATGCTGCAAGTTTGGGTGTCGCCGAGTTCCGTTCTGAAACTAGACGTTCAGGAATTAGCTGAAGTTGACTGCCTCTCGTGCTTAGGTAGCTGCGTGACCAACGACGGGAGCGCATCAAAGGAGACAATCGCCCGAATTTTCAATGCTCGATCAGCGTACGCAGGACTAAAACACTTCTAGCGACGACGTAACGTTTCATTAAACTTGAAAGTTGTTGTTTGGCAGATTTGGAGTTTGTATGTCGATTGTGAAAAGTTCAGTAGCCTCGGTGGGATCCGAACCCACGCACGGACGCCGCCTACGCTTTGTACGCGCATGCTCTACCAGCTGAGCTACGAGGCCACACCGATAACATTCATCTTTTCACATTCGAATTTACCCAGCCAACTTACAGTATGGCATCCACCAGTTAGCATGTAAGCTGACTGTCCCGACAGGTTTTCCTTAGAATTCACCGGAGTCCATCGAATCCCACCGAGGCTACTGCACTTTTCACGATCGATATATAAAGTTGAAAAGTCGTGTATATTGCGCCATTTTACCACCAGTCCTACCTTACGATTGTGCTGTCTTGAATTTACGGGTAGTTCTTTTCGACTATCGATGCTTACGTAATCTGGTACAGGTGGGACGGAGTGAGCAAGTTAGTACCAGAAATCGTCGGGTGTTTGGGAATGCATCGAACATAAGCACGTTAACGCATCGAATTCAGTCCAGTAGGCTCTGTTGGTTAGGACAGTCTACGTATGTCTAACGGTCGCCTACCACACCGCGCCTTGTTAGCAGTGGCCGCTGCAGACCAGAGAAAGCCACCTGGAGATGAGGCATGAAGAAATGCACAGAGCGATTAGGTAGAGTAGGCGTATCTCGTCTTCCGGATTAGAGTCAAAAATACTCCGTAACTGGATGGTTGGAGGCGCTGAAGGTCATGGCAGGAAGCCGACAGCACTGGCGATCTTCCTGCCACTTAACAGATCAGAATGCTTGAAAACGTGTTTATGCACAGTACCACCTGCGTTGAATCTGATCATACGTTAGTTTCGATGCAGTTCACTTTCCAATTCACTGATCGCGGAAAATTCCACCAAACTCGATTGGCAGATCATCGCTTATCTGACCCAACCGTTCGTGCCCGTTTTGAATCAGAACTAGGGCAAGAGGTAAACGCACTGCGGGGTGGTAGTGTAAATGAACAATAGAATCAGATTAGCCGAGCAATGCACTACGCAGCGAACGTTGCTTGTGGATCTGAAGCAGTAGCCCGCCCGAGGCATTGGATATCTGATGAGTCAGTAGCACTGATGGAGAAAAGCGGCAAATCCCAACCACCCGGAATCAAGGCAGATTTAGGTGGCGTCTACAACGTCATCTCACGAGGAGCCTCAAAAAAGATCGTGAGAACTGGTGGGCCACGATAGCTAGTGAAATGGAAGTAGCGGCTGCATCGAGCAATAGTCAGAGACTTATTCAAGTGATACGCAATACGGGAGGTCGGCGAACCACGGTTAGTGAAGCAATCTGCTGCAAAAGTGAGCAAGCTGTTCACAATAGGGGACAACGGATTGACCGGTGGGGGGAGTACTTCAACGAACAGTTCAGCGAACCAAGCTATCTCCTCCGATATAGACGAGGCTTCATGGGCAGTGTCATCTGAACGTCCTACTGCAGCAGAAGTT